TATGGCCGGAATCGAAGGCGGCGGGTGGCTGCGGAATGGGGGAGGGGAACGCGCGCGGGCTGAAATGTCCCTCCAGCCAACTGCTTTTCCATGATGCATGGCACTGACGGGGCGGGGGGAAAACATGTGTTTTCACAGGTGGGGGGGGGCAATTTACCGCGTTCCTTAAAAATTTAAGGGTCATAGGGTGTTTAAGGTGTCTCTTTGGGCCGCTTTTTCCGTGCAAAACTGTAAACTGCCGATTATTTTGCAGTTCGGCGCGATATAAGGGGTTTGTTAGAGATGCTCTAAGCATGACAACTTCTCGACTGTCTATTACAACAAGGTTTGCCCGGCTTCGGCGGGGGAGGGTGATGACAGCGGCACCTTCGGCTCGCTTCATCGCTTGAATCGTCGCTAGGTGGGATCTGGATGTAATTTTTATTATTTCTAGTGTTCGTTGTACTACCACCATTATTGAAGATGAATAGATCGAAAAAAAATCCAAAAAGAAAAAAAAGTCCCTCCCAATTAAGCTCCAATATATCTCATGTACGTTGACCTCCTTCCCAAAGTTTTTTTCTAAACCACCTCCTCCCCAAAGTTAGAGGCATGTGTTTGGCGTGGCCAAACGGGAGTCAAGAACCAAACAGTACCGTAGATGTGCATGCACGATGATACTGGCAGAACAGTAATTGGTCAGTCCATTTACCTCATATTCTATGAGACCTTGACGATGACCTTCCAACAGTCCGTTCCTTTACCACGAAGGATGCGATGGGCAGCAGACACGTAGAGGAAAGGCCAGAGGGACGTGCCAAAATCGCCGATGTCGCGGAGCCAGCGGCGTGATAATCAAAGGGGAGACGTGCCTGCAGCTGCATGTCGCCCCGTGACGCCGGTACAGGAAGGCAGCAGCAAGGAAACTCTCTCGTGTCTACTATGCCGCTGGATTTTGTTCTCCAGATGTTTATCACAGCTTTTAGAGCCCGGGTGCTCGTGCATCAGCATGAACGCACGGCGTGCATCCTTCACGTCTCCCCTTCGATTCCTTCTAGTCGCAGGCTCCTGTGTCAAAGCCCGACGAACAAATTTCAAAACCAACGACATACCACTCGTCAACGCGTCGTGCGCAACGTGCGTGATTTCCCCCGCAAAAAAAAAAAGTTTACCGACACAACGAATTATGTGCCCTAGTGAAGAAATGTGAGCTCGATGATGCTTGATGTACCTTTTTTTTTTACCCCAATAGCCAGCGAACTTTCCTTGTGGGGCATGGCAATTACAAATGTTTTCTACAGCAAAGTCTTTGAGAGCACATGGCAATTTTTCACAAGCACACGGCGACTTCCGGAAAACAGAGAGATTTTGCTACAGGTTGCCGTGTTCGCTTGAAAGAATTGACATGCTTGCAACACATAATTTGCCATGATTTCTTTTTGTTTTGCCATACAACCCTAGTGCACATTCGCTGAATAACAATTCCCTCTTTTCGTGATGAGTCTACATGTTTTTTGATTGAATATAATGCATTGTGTTCTCTTTTCCCGAACCATGTGGTTCTAGAAGGCATGACTCATACAAAACCATGGAGGCACGACCCGATAGACAAACCTAACGACATAAAGATTGAACCGGACCGTTAGATACTTTTAGCCATCCAACAACGGTCATCGAAATTGTCCGGACCGGCTCGGACGTTCGAAATCCCCAAAACTGACACCAAGCTGAGGGGAGCTTTCCGAAGTCTGGACTCTGACACGCCGGACCCACATAAAAAAATAACATTATTATTGTTTACTTTGAACTAGACGTGATGGATTCGTATGAGGAGTACTTCTAAGCCGAGTTCATGGTTCCGTCTTCGTTGGATGAGGATGAAGATGATTATGAAACGACGATTATGAGGGCTTTTCATGAAGATATGGAGCGTGCATTGGAGCATGTTCTCAACTTCAAAGATTCAACGAAGGGAATTTGAATGTTGAATCGGCAGAGGACACATGGGCATATGATGTTGTACGAGAACTACCCCCCCCCCCCAATGCACTACTCGAATCTTATTTCACTCGTCGTTTTCGAAGGCGCGACATGTGTTCGAATGCATTTACCAATGTGAGATGGTTGGAAACATTGGATTCTCTGGTTACTAGAAGTGCATGACTGCTATTAGAATGCTTGCCTATGGCATGGCCGTAAATTTGTGGGACGAGCACCTCCGGGTGTCTGAAAGCACATGTCTCGAAGTCATGGTCAGATTTGCTACTACAGTGGTGAAGGTGTTTGGATTGGAGTACATGAGACAATCAAATGGCGTAGCCACAACAAGGGTCACGACATTTGGATATGGAAGAGGATTTGCAAGTATGCTCGGATCCCTAGATTGCATGCATTGGAAATGAAAAAACTGCTCATATGCTCAACACGTGCAAAATGCTTACCATCATTTTTGAAGTAGTTACATCACAAGACCTCTGGATTTGACACTCTCTTTTTGCATTTCTAGATCACACAGCGACATCAATGTGTTGTCGAGGTCTTCATTGTTTACAAGGTTGTGTGCGGGCGAAGGTCCTGCATGCAACTATACCATTAATGGTCATAATTACATAATGAGATACTATCTTTTTTATGGCATCTATCCTCCCTGAAAAATTTCCTCAAGACCATCTTTGAGCCAAGGGTGACAAAATATATATATAATTTTGCCCAGAAAGAAGGAGGCAGAAAAGACGCGGAGAGGGCATTTGCAGTTACTCCAAGCCTGTTTTATAGTTGTTTGAGGACGTGCTAAACTATTAGATGCAAAGACGTTGTGAGAGGTGATGACAACTTACGTGGTCATGGACAATATGATTATGGAGTATAAGAGTGAGGGAGTTGGCTAAGGTCTGGAATTTCAAGAGATGGGTGATCCTATCCATTTTTCGAGGCAGAACCCGGTGTCATTTGAGGTTTTTCTCGAAATGCATCAGCAGATTCATGATCGAGGAACTCATGAGCAACTTCAAAAGTATCTGATTGAGCATATGCGGGTGTTTCATATGAACAACTAGAACACGTGTCAATAAATAGAATTCAAATTTGAACCATTTTATTTCAAAACTTTATATTTGGATTGTAATATTTATATTTGAATTATTGTTGCGTTGAAATATTTATCTTTCGGTTATCGGAATATTTATCTTTCAATTCTCAAAGAATTGTGCTATTTATGTTTGATTATTTTTAATACTTCGAGCACAGAAAAAAAAATACTATGCGAACATACATTTGATGCCTACGGTTGGATCCGGCGCCCCACATTGGAGTTGCCCTAAGCTCTACATTTTTTCTTGTGTTCTATAATGCGTTGTAGTTTTGCTGAACATTAGATCCGCTGTGTAGCAAATAAACACAGCCTTTTTAAAAGCAGAAGTTCAATTTACTTTTGAGGGGTAGCAGAAGTTCAATTAAACTAATAGGATCATCTCAAACTGAGCAGCCCGTGTAAGAATTAAAATGAGCACTGCATGAATCAGGGGACTATCTAAAAATATATAATAAAATAATCAAGGAACGCGCGTGCAACTTTCCATGACATGTCGAGGAAGGCAAACCATCTGTAATACGTTGCAAACTTGCAATAAGATGACCATGACAATAGTCCTAGTAGACCTAGGCTGCCAAACTGCCGTGAGCATACACAGCTCCAGCAGCAAACAATGGTGCAAACAGACGGCATGTGCTTACATACGTATCTATATATGCCGATGTTCAATCAGAATCAACCACCGGCTATTACTACTAATTGTTACTAGAAATGAATAACCAACGCCCGATTATTGTCGCTTCAAAGCTACGAGTAAACTACCAGTACTAGTAGTAAAATAACATCCACGCTCCCCGTAGATCATTTGCCCTATAGATTTGGAGCCCAAGTCAAGTGTTCATCATGCCTCTTTCTTGTACCGTCAGTTTGTCACTTCTTGGCCTAGCCCGAGCCAGGAGTTGTCACCATTAGCTTGCTTGGACGGAGCCGCCGATGCGCTGTTAATTTGGTAAGGCGCCTTCGCCACTATCCTGGGGTAAATGAGCACAAAATGTTAGGGTCGTACATGTAGCAAGTTTCTGAAGACATTTTCACTGTCTTCCTTGAGGAAAAATTTCATAAAAAACCCAGCTCGATCAGGTACCTGCCCTTTCTTTTCTCGAGAAACCTATGGAGTGAGTTCCTCCTCGCTATTGGCAGATCTGCAACCGAGCAAAAAATGTTGGCACTCTGTTAGCGATAAGGATTTCATATGGAAATTTGCATGAGACTCTGAACTGAAACAATCCCTTTGTCTGCATGTATTGTATATTTTCACGGTAGAGTTGCAAAAGAGAGCATGAGAATTAGTACCAGGGAGAGTGTTCTGTGAAGGCTGGGGAGGGCTCTGCTGAACGAGGCTGCTGCTCCCGGCCTTGTCTCCGGCGCCGTCGGCCATCTGCAGCAAATCCTTGACCTTGGTGGACGGGAAGTTGTCAACCACGACCACTTTTCCACCGTAGAAGATGGTGAGCTGGTGCGCATCCTCTCTGGCATCTTGGTTGTCAGTTGTGGCCTTGAGAAACTGGCCAACACTAGATTTCTCGAGGGGGAGCTCCACGTGCGCGGCGTTTGGCTCCTCTAGCCCCGAAAGCAGGTTCATGGTGGTGGGCGGCTGGAAAGCTCCTGCAAATTCAGATGAACATCTTGTAAGAACTTTGTTGCTAACTAAATGCATGAGACACATGACCAGTCAGAAGAAAACCATCCCCTGTTCTTTCTACAAGAAAAGAAGTTCACCGAGAAACCAATCGACAGGGCACGTCACGGCGTACCTCCTTCATCGACGACGGCAGCCGGCGGCGACATGTCGAGGCCGACGAGGCCCTGCAGTGCGCCGCCCTTCTTCTCCTTCATGTAGCGGCTCAGGAGGCTGCAGGTGGCGGCGAAGCCGGTCTTCTCCTTGGCCGCCCACGCAGCACCGGCACCGGCACGGCCGGCCATCCCCTCTCCTCCTCCCATCTTCCCGCCGCTCCCCGCCCCTTCCATGCACAACAAACAAGTCGCCTCTCCACCGGAGCTAGCTTCCTCGCTCCTTCCTTGGCTTGCCTGCTGCCTCCGACAAACAACTCCAGTGCACTTTTCCTCATGCCGGGCGCCTCCGCCCTTTTAAAATGGATCAGCTCTTCGTGATAAACGGCGAGGTGGGACGACAAGGACCCGTCGGGCCGGGCACGGCCGGGCATGGAAAACGTGGGGGAATGGGAGGGGCACGCAGCTCACTAGGTTCTTCCGAGTCGTGGGCACGACCGGACGGGTGGAGCGGTGAGGTCTCCGTCCGCGACGGTCCCATCGAAGGAAAAGGTCGTGGAGTGTTGGCGATGAATATCGGGGGCCGTGGGTGGTCACGGAGGCACGTGGTTTTTGAGCTCGTATTCGGGCCTGGATTTGACCCGCGGGGCAGCGAAGGCGCGGTCGGTCTCTCTCGGTTATTTTTAGGTGGATGGGATGGGAGGTACGTACGGGGCAAGGAGACAAGACGTGTGACGGGCATGTGTCGTGCTGAGGAGCAGTACGTTTGGCCCCTATATATGTGGTAATGTGCTGATTTACATTTGGTGATTTTTGGCTTGCTTGGCTTAGCTGTTGCTCTATGACGACGGTTTTACTATGTCTCAACCGATGGGGGTTCATTAAGTCTCAGTTGATCTAGAAAAGCGCAAATTTAGCAAATTTGTATTCAAATAGACAAGCCATTATGATAGCTATTCTGACCAGTAGAGGGGGTATTGGAGACAACTGTCTCGCTGAATTACAACCATGAGGAATCAACAACGGTGATGGTGATCGTCACCGAGAAGGAAGCGTCTGCAACTCAAGGTGTGGTGAGGTGTGGGAACAAAAGCCCACAAAGTTGAAGCTCGAAACCTCTCCATAGTATAGGGCGCCTCGCAGCGGCAGCTAGCAGAGTGAGGGACGAAAAAAAATGAAAGCAATGGAGAAGGAAGGCGACCGTCGGTTTTGTAACTTGTGGATTTAAGATTATTATTTTTAGAGTTGAAGTTCGCGATTTCTCATGTTTTCATCATTTTGAACTTGTTTTTGGGCTTGGATTTGATCGGCGGGGTAGTGAGCTAGCTCGCTCTCTCTCTCTCTCTCTCTCTCTCTCTCCGGGTAGTTGGGAGTATGTAGGGTGCAAGCCGACACGACGTGTGACCTGGTAATGGTATGTCGTGTTGGTTTACGCTTGACCGCAATATATGGGTGATTGCTAATTTACATTCGGTCATTTTCACCATGCACAACTAAGCCGTTCACTAAGTTTTGCAACTTTATGAAAGATATTACAAAAGAAGGTACAATCGGGAGAAAGCAAGTATTAAGAAGTGCGTGGAGGCGAAGCTCATCCCCATGATGTAGGGCGCCTCACGACGACACCTCGCGTAGAGGAGAAGAAGTTCACAATAGAGAGAGCTCATGCCCTGCTGCACGAGGGAGAGGGCAGGGAGGCGACCATCATAAACAAGAGGGAAGCGACAAGGTGTTTGAAAGGACAGGTTAGCCCCCCACCCCACCACCCACCCACCCAAAGGCACAGCCAGAGAGTGTTACAGGGGATATGACTATGGACTGGTGTAAACTCCGCGCTACGCGGAGTATATAATCATCCTCCTTCAAAACGACGAAAATTCTGAAAGTTGAAAGCCTTGAAGTTTGCAAATTCTGAAAGCCAGAATTTCCGCAATACATTTTTTTATAATTGAATTTATACAAGTTGAATTTGACTTTTTAATTGTGATTTTAAGTTGAGAGTTGCAAAAGGTGTAAATTTCTAAATGTGTAATGGGGGCGGGGTATGTGTGTGGGATGGTGTTTGTGGGGGGGAGGGGGGGTAACAGGTCAATCCTATTTGAAAGTTTCTTTGAAAAACACTGGGAGGTTGACTGAAAATAGTTGTGCCAATGACTAGTAGGCAACACCCCACAGTTGGCACGCATTCTAAATGTTTATTTGGTTATTTTCTTCTTAATGAAAAAACAATGCTCACCTAAGGATTTCCCAGAAAGAAGATGTCCACCCAGAAATGAACCCGACCTTGCTTGGATGAATTGGAGGGCTGGTCATACCTCCAATCCACCATGTTTGACATTCTACATATTTCTTGTAAGCGAATTATTCTTTCAGTGGAAAGCAAACATATTCATCTATAGTGATGCACTTGTGGTCATGAGTGGAAATAGGCTTGTGGTAACCCAAATCCAACACCAAAAGGCATATATACTTTTATCTAAAAGGGCAACAAAAACATGAATTGGAGTGTTTGAATTGGGTTAGACCTTGGCTTGGCCTAACAAGGCTACATCCACAGTGTAAGCAATGTATCATAATTCATAAATAACTTATAACATTTATAAACAAAACTTAAAATATAATATTGAAAATGTGTAAGCCACTCAACAATATCCTCACATATCCATATATAAACAAGTATTGAAAAATCGGCCATTTTTTCAGCTAAGCAGGAGGCAGACGATTTGCCTCTTTTATAAACTTAAAGGGGGATGTGATTTCTTACAAGCAAGGAAAAAAATAGGAACCCTATCGACTACATGAGCCTACTCTCCCTAATATGAGATTACTCAAGTGCTTAGCAAACACAAGGCGCCGCATTTTAGCCCCATCTTTGATTCTCACAATGGTGATCGAAGGTAGGATGAAGATGTTCCAAAAAATCCATGCATTTATCTCATTCCAAATTTGCTAAGAGATGACCATGAAGAGGAAGTGTTTGTGTTAAAACCGAAAGATCACGGGTAGGGGGGCAAGCTATATGTCCGAGGATTGATGGTAACTATGATCAAAAGGACATAGTATTTACCCAGGTTTGGGCCCTCTTAATGATGGTAAACCCTACTCCTGCTTGATTATATTCGAAGGGTATAGGGGTTACAAGAGTTGATCTACCACGAGATCGTATTGGCTAACCCTAGATTGGCTAGCCTAGTAGTGTTATGATCCTGCCTTCGATCTAACCCTCCGGTTTATATAGACACCAGAGGGGCTTAGGGTTGTACAAAGTCGGTTTAACAGAAAGGAAATGACATATCCGGACACCTAAACTTGCCATCCACGTATAGAGGGAGTCCCTACCGGACACGAGAGGTGGTCTTTGTTGGAAATATGCCCTAGAGGCAATAATAAAAGTATTATTATATTTCATTGTTCATGATAATTGTCTTTTTATTCATGCTATAACTGTATTATCCGGAAATCGTAATACACGTGTGAATACTTAGACCACACTATGTCCCTGGTAAGCCTCTAGTTGACCAGCTCATTGTGATCAACAGATAGTCATGGTTTCCTGACTATGGACATTGGATGTCGTTGATAACGGGATCACATCATTAGGAGAATGATGTGATGGACAAGACCCAATCCTAAGCATAGCATAAAAGATCGTGTAGTTCGTTTTGCTAGAGCTTTGCAAGTGTCAAGTATCTCTTCCTTCGACCATGAGATCGTGTAACTCCCGGATACCGTAAGAGTGCCTTGGGTGTATCAAACGTCACAACGTAACTGGGTGACTATAAAGGTGCATTACAGGTATCTCCGAAAGTAGCTGTTGGGTTGACACGGATCGAGACTGGGATTTGTCACTCCGTATGACGGAGAGGTATCTTTGGGCCCACTCGGTAATGCATCATCATATTGAGCTCAATGTGACCAAGGGTTTGGACACGGGATCATGCATTACGGTACGAGTAAAGTGACTTGCCGGTAACGAGACTGAACAAGGTATTGGGATACCGACGATCGAGTCTCGGGCAAGTAACGTACCGATTGACAAAGGGAATTGCATACAGGGTTTGATCGAATCCTCGACATCGTGGTTCATCCGATGACAACATCGAGGAGCATGTGGGAGCCATCATGGGTATCCAGATCCCGCTGATGGTTATTGACTGAGAGTGTCTCGGTCATGTCTGCATGTCTCCCGAACCCGTAGGGTCTACACACTTAAGGTTCGGTGACGCTAGGGTTATGAAGATATGGATATGCAGAAACCCGAATGTTGTTCGGGGTCCCGGATGAGATCCCGGACGTCACGAGGAGTTCCGGAATGGTCCGGAGGTAAAGAATTATATATAGGAAGTGCTATTTCGGGCATCGGGACAAGTTTCGGGGTTATCGGTATTGTACCGGGACCACCGGAAGGGTCCCGGGGGTCCACCGGGTGGGGCCACCTGTCCCGGGGGGCCACATGGGCTGTAGGGGGTGCGCCTTGGCCATCATGGGCCAAGGGCACCAGCCCCTATAGGCCCATGCGCCTAGGGTTTCCCCCTAGGAGGAGTCCTAGTGGTGGAAGGCACCCCTAGGTGCCTTGGGGGGGAGGGAAACCTCCCCTAGGCCGCCGCCCCCCTAGTAGATCTCATCTACTAGGGCCGGCGCCCCCCCCTGGCACCCCTATATATAGTGGGGGAGAGGAGGGACTTCTTACACCAGCCCCTGGCGCCTCCTCCTCCCCCCCGTTACGTCTCTCCCTCGTAGTCTCGGCGAAGCCCTGCTGCTGTGACGCCCTGCATCCACCACCACGCCGTCGTGCTGCTGGATCTTCATCAACCTCTCCTTCCCCCTTGCTGGATCAAGAAGGAGGAGACGTCTCCCGTCCCGTACGTGTGTTGAACGCGGAGGTGCCGTCCGTTCGGCGCTGGTCATCGGTGATTTGGATCACGTCGAGTACAACTACATCATCACCTTGCAAGCTTCCGCACGCGATCTACAAGTGGTATGTAGATGCAAACTCTCTCCCTAGACTCGTTGCTTAGATGAACTCATAGATGGATCTTGGTGAAACCGGAGGAAAAATTTTAATTTTCTGCAACGTTCCCCAACAGTGGCATCATGAGCTAGGTCTATGCGTAGTTCTCTTTGCACGAGTAGAACACAACTTTGTTGTGGGCGTGGATTTTGTCATCTTACTTGCCTCTACTAGTCTTTTCTTGCTCAACGGTATTGTGGGATGAAGCGGCCCGGACCAACCTTAC